AAACACAATAAAATCACATACATTATAGACATAGCCATCCCAAACACTCACAATGTACAAAACACATGCACTGAAAAAATTAGCAAGTACACAGAACTCGCCCAGGAAATCGGGCATCTGTGGAGGATGGATAGGGTGCTTATTGTACCTGTCATTCTCTCCTGTACAGGTGTGATACCACACACGCTACAGAAAAGCCTGGGAACATTAGAATTGAGTAGAAATACATACATCACACTACAGAAGGCCACTATATTGAATACATGCCATATTGTTAGGAAATTCCTTAATACAGACACTGACACACACATTTAATTTTAGTTTTGTTTTGGTTGCTATGCCTTGACTCTGGTCCGGCATAGTACACAGCCACCTTTTTGTACCGAGTATAACCCACTAAACCCAACACATAATAATAATAATAAAAGAAAAACAGGCGTGTAGCCACAGAAGCATGGTTGTAACTTTATTGAGGGGTATAAAGATATAGTCAAATACTGTGATTTGAGCCCCATTAGTACTTGCTTCAATAGATTTATCATTTCGGTGGGGTTCCTGACGATTAAATTGTAATCCCTCAGATGGTCTGTTGCGATGTTGTGGACCACTTTTTCTAATGTTGCCTGATCAGAGACCTAGCTTTATCAAGGATGGGTCTAAGGGAAGGTGTGTGCTTATGCATTTTTGCAAAGGCGAATATCCTAGGTGTGTCTGGAGAGGCTACCACCACCCCTTTTAACTTAAGTTCCTTGGCAAGAGGTGTTCTTGTAAAGTGTGTTATCCGAGCTTGTAATTTGTTTACATATTCCTTGTCCACAGGTTCACAGTTCGTGTTGGTGATGTATTGTTGCATGAGATTTCTGTAGGTGGTCTCTTTTAGAAGTATTAATGCTCTGCTCTAGTCAGCCTTCAGTATGATGATGCACTCATCCAATAATCATTCCTGGTTTTTTGTAAACATCGCCAAAATCCTTGTCTTGGGTTTTATTGTTGGTGGAACAGATTCCAGAAGTGAATCTTCATCTGTAGTATTCTTTGTGAACGTCTTTCATGCCTACAATTAGCCTTTCTATATGTGGCATCACACTTTCTATGATTGGCTTTGGGGTCCCCAGAGTGTACATCGGACCATGAGTCAAGGTGTTGATTAGGTAGTCTGGTGGAGAAAGTGTTGATTAGCTAAGCTGGACCAGTTAACTACCACCAATCACACTTATTAGACATCAACATCTAGCTCAACAGAGAAGTAATAGAAGCCGGTATATATTATAAACCCAGCTATGTTCCATTGTTCATACTGACAAACTCATAAACATAAAATTGTGGCATTCCATGCTTTAGTTAGAAGAGCTTATACACACCATTCCAATTGGAGGGACACAGAAAAAGAACTACAAAATCTAGAGCGCATTGCGATAAAACATGGCTACAAAAAGAACTAATACATGGGTTAGCAAATGCCTATTCTAGACCACGTGATACACACAGCATCCCCAATTCTCAAAGAAGATTGATCTGGTGGCAAAGTCTTGATTCCAATGAAGATTGGAATCAAGACTTTGCCACCAGATGTACCATGGTTGAGTACAATTAACAATTTCATGTTTTATACGGGTAGCCCTCGGTTTACGCTGCAGTTCCATTCCTACAAAAGCCGGTGCAAATTGAACTGGCGTAAAACGAACCCATATTTACAGTGAGGTATAGGGTTAGGTTCTACATAAGTGAAAAATAAGCAAATAATTTTGTTTATTAATACAATATAATACAAAATATATATAAATTTTTAATTTTTAAAATGTATTTTATCATAAAATAAAGTGAAATGTTTTTATTAAAAAATTTTAGTTTCGGATTTCTTACATTTTTCAGGAAAAAATATCCATCTTTAATTGTTTACATTTTTGTTTTTTTTCATTGAGAATTTCAGAATATGGTCAAATGGAGGCGATTATGCTTCTTTTTACATTTGTACTTTGCTCCTAATCGTTGTCTAACTCACAAAGTTCATTCGTCAAACTTTCCATAGTTGAAAGGATACGTTAACCTGACGTAGAGCTACGGACAAGCGGAGACACTGATTGGTCGACCACTAATCGCCGTAGTGCATGTATAAGGTCAGTTTGAGCAGGAATATTCAAGGTGGCTAAGGAGAGATAGCTATCGTCTGGCCAACGAGAAGTAGATTTGTCTCACTGACAATAATTTGTGGTCGCCAGAAGTACTGCTGCGTCGTAAGGTGTTTTCCTGAATGAACTGATACAGGATAAATTCATTGGCACTATGGATTCAGACACCATTTATTGGACTATTAAGTTTGATAACTTGACTTATGGGCACCTAAACATTTAGTGTATTAATATTAATTTAATGCAAATGTATACATACCCAATAATATTAAACAGAAAAAGTAAATATATTCAATAAAAATCTTTGTTTTAACGAATGTACAATGTCGCGGCTCGGTAATTACATCAACACTGAAATGAAAATCAGTCTAGCATAGGGAAAATCGGGGAATTACACCTCAAAACAAAATGGCAAATTGCACAGCGGCATTATTGTAAATTGGCGTAAATTGAACTGGCATAAACCGAGGGCTACCTGTATAGAGAAATTGCGGCAAAAGCAGGCACCAAACTAGCCTGCAGAAGGTCCCCCACTATATATGCGTTATTACACAATGTGAAAGACAAGCCTGACGATCTCAGGGCTCCAGGAGTATACAGTATCCCAGTGAGGGATGACAGGTTTGGGCGAGACATAGGCTCCACTAAACGTTCCATTCAACAGAGGGTCCATGAACACAGATACAACATATACCATGCCTGGTACACCACCATCCTATCCATCTATGCCACTGACCTAGAAGTTCATGTGGACCTGTCCAATGCAAGACTGATAAAAGAGCATTCCACACAGATCACGTCAGGACCCTGGAAGCCCTTGAAATATACAAGGCTGGCCTAGCGGGGAAATGCATCAACTCTAAAGATGGCAATGCATGTAAGTTCGCCGATTTTGGGGGCAATACGTTAATTGCGCGTCAGGAAAACCTAGGGTCAAACCGTATGTGGGTGGTGGCGGTAGGAGACAAAGATGACAAGTGTCTTACACGAAAACCGTTTATTTTGACATGAAGTTAACTTACACAACAGGAATAACAAAATAAGTTCGTTGGCCGGCTGAGGTTTCGCTTCTTCTGTGCCCCGGGGCTCAATGAGGTAGCTACTGACGATCTTGCGTCCTTGATGCGAGTTCAGGTGTCCGATGATGCGGCGGTGCTCGGTGGTTATGGCGTTCTGGATGCTGGGGGTCCAGTGCACGGCTGAGACTCGGCTATCCTGACCTCTTTAGTATGTGTCCGTGTGCTGCGGGCCTGGCGTCTTGGAGAGAATCTGCTCCGTGTCCTTGAGATTCGGGGGTTTTATAAGATTTTCCCCGAATCTCACCCT